ATAATATTTATGATACTTTTAACTATTTTTTTTATGCATATCAATAACATGTTTCTTGTTATAGAAACGTAGTTATTGATATAAGGTTGTAAACATGACATTTTTTATTAAATGTTTTAACTACATTTTTATGTCAAAAATGTAATGTTTAGTATCATTAACTATGTTTTTGACAGAGAAAACGTAGTCTTTGACAACATAAGTGACACGAGACATTTGTTTCGACACTTGGCGATGTTGTTTGACTTAAACCTGTTAATAAATTTCAACCTTTAGCTTGAGGTAATTAAAAAGCATGTGCTTAGACTATCAGACATATCTAATGCCGGCCTAGCTGTTGATAAATAGAAGGAACTAAGCACTTGCCACTTTTGCTTCTACAAGAGAACAAGATTTTATGCTTTTTGATCCAACTATTTTCATAAACTATTTAAAATATCTGCTTAATAAGGTCAAAAGTCGAGATTCTAATATGCTTCAAAAAATTTTTAAATCAAAAACTATGTTTCTACATTTAAAAATGTAGTCTTTGTAGAAAAAAAAAATTTCAATCAAGGACTACATTTTTATTTTCATAAATGTATGATTGTAACTTTTTTTATAAAAACCTATGTTCCTGGTTTTATTATATATATTTTTGTTCATAATAATCAGCTTATTTTTAACATTATAAAAATGAAAACCTTTATTTTGATTGCTTAATGGTTGTTACAGTAGACACCAAATTGTTTGGGTTACCCGAGTTGGGCCTAATTTCAATTTATTTGTGCTTAGGGCCCAATTTCATTTGTTGGGCTTAAGCCCACGGCTTTTATTTTTATTTTTATTTTTACTTTTGTTATTTGATTTTATAATTAAATATTAAAACACAATAACATTAAATAAAATATTTAATTAATTAAACAAAAAAAATGATGAAAAAAAATAAGTAGAAATCAAGGGTGCCACTACCACCCACTCCCCTACAATCGTTAGTCCTGAGCCCTGAGCCCCTAACTATCCTATACACTGCCACCCATTCCTTGGCAACTCTTCCATTTTTCCCAACTTTAAAATTTTAAATGTCTAGTAGTTTCAAAATCGTCATTACAACTTGACAACTGCATTAGAGTTTTTTTTTAGAGTCAAGTCAAAAATTAATCATGCATTACCTAAATTATTGGATTTATAGTTTTAGTTTATATTTAATTTTGACTCCCTTCATTTTAATTCTTTTAAAAACATTACATGTTAGTATCCTACCTTTATTTTGTCATTCATTTGTATCTTATATTGTTTGATTGATATATCTCTTTGCACACGCTTTGTATTTTCACTCACATGCATGAGCTTTAACCCAAGCTTTATCTATTCTAGGAAGAAGTAAAGTAGCTACGCTGTTGTGATATGATAACTTTCACTTTTGTTAATGAAATACTTCTATTCAAATTGAACCATTTCTATTAATAGCTTGTAATGGGTGAGGATCATGAAGTCTTACTAGTCTGTAATAGACGATGATGTGAGGAATAGTTTGGGAACCTTTAAACATATAAATCGTAACTCAACATATCACGAGCCATAAGGATCCGGCCTAGGATAGTCATGCCATCCTTCTCAAAAAAATTACTTAAAGCTAAGACACTATGTATATTCTTCTCTATTATATGCATGCTTGATTATTTATTTATTTATGTATTTTTATTAACATTACTAACTTATTTAATTCTTTTGTTACCATTAATCTTGCTACATGCATTATGCACATATTTCTTAGGGGAGTATTATTTTGGCCAATCTTCAGCAAGAGAAACTCTCATGAAGCCTACAGTAGTATCATTCATGTATAAGAATTATTTAGAGGTTAAGAACCAGTAAGAAAGTATCCAGGAAAAAGAAAATGACTATTTAGGAAATGGTCATATCTCAACGTTTCAATAGTCAGTGTATGTAGCTCAATCGTAGTCATCTTTATTTTTATTTTTTGGTTTTATAATTAAATATTAAATTACAATAACATTAAATAAAATACTTAACTAATTAAACAATAAAAAATGATAAAAAAAAAAATCAAAGGTGCTAGTGGGTGTCGTGCACAGCACCACTACCACCCATTCCCTTACAGCCATTGGCCCTGAGCCTCAACCCCCTAACTACCTTGTACACTACCACCCATTCCCTGGTGACTCTTCTGTTTTTCTCGATTTTAAAATTTAAACGTCTGGTGATCTTAAAATTGTTATGACAGTCACAAGTTTAATTTTAATAACATAATGGGTAGTTGAAATGTTGCTTACGTGTTATTCACATGTAATGAAGGTCATTATAATAAAAAAGCTTTTGTTACGTAATTTAACCTTCCCCTGAACCAAACACATAAATCTAACATTCCTATAACATAAAAGGTCACCCATTACCAAGAATTTACAATTATCCTAAGATCACTTTCCCTTTTGGAATCTAAGATTCCTTAAACCAATCACCCCCTTAAGGTTTTAAGTTAATTATGGTAACAAATACATTGAAAAATTTGTTTATGAAACCATTATTATTATGGGTTTATTCACTTTGTGGAGTATAGCTTTGGATAAAAGGTCTATAAGGTAACATAAATGGATATAATGTTTTTATACACATTTGTTCAACATAATGCCATTGTTATATATGTATATATTTAACTACATATGCAAATCTTACATTGACATATCATATTATAATATCTTAGAATTTTGTGTGTGTCTTAAGTATGACTTTAATGTAATTTGGGTATGTCTCATAAGTGATACCATTAAATTATTTCGATGACATTGATAAGACATATCTAGATGTCAAGGAAATTTCTTAGCAAGTTCAGAGAAATAGTTAAAAGGATCGACAGTGAAAATAACACATTGAGATCACATTTAAGTGTTATTTTCTTGCTACATAGCAACATTGAGATCCATTGTTAATAAAATCACCAATACTTGTAACCATGGATTGGTTTTGTGTTGATAAGGAGTGTAAAAACTGCCATGAATCAATATTATATGGTTTTATTGAACAAAATTATTAAGATATTGTCTCAAAGGTTAAATTGTTTTCTAAAACTATTGTCACATAAAAGTAAAATTATCAACCTAGAGTCCTATTTTCTGAATTATATTTTCTTATAATCAAACAATTCAATTAATATTACCCAAATGAGAGACTATTATAATTTTCAATAAGTGAGTTACTATTAATCGATAATTTTATAGTTTAATAAAATCAATTAATAAATTTAGTTTTAATACGAGATATGCATGAGAATCCAAATACTTTAATAGTGATCACTATAGTGTGGGTTTTACATTACTTATTGGGTCACTATGATTTGATAATTGTGTAGACCTTTAGCATAATAAACCTTTGGCTTTGATGAGAAATTTCTAAGATTTTGATCAAATATATGGTTAAATTTCCATCTTTATTTCTAATTAATGTTATCTACAACCTTTAGTAAACGAAAAGTAAAGAGAAAAATATAATTGGTAAAAAAAATATTGTTGCTTCTATTTATTATCTATGATGACTCAAACAAAAACGGAAATTAATGAATTGATATTATGATATTCACGTGTGAATCACGAAATTTAAATATTATGCTTATCCTAAAATAGGTAGGAGGAATTTGAAACGTGAAAGTTAAATTTAACGTCTTCCAATTGTCCTGATCATTATTTTTGACCTTTTTATTTTTACTTTTATCGATTGTCAGCTTGGAAAATTCTTTCAAAGCAATGGGTGATATATATGTAGTTTTGATTGAACTGTAAACATAGATACAAATCCTTTTACATTGAGACGTATGTTCAAATTGTCTGACTATCAACAAATCAACAAGGTAGAAATTTCTTGCTACAATTTCAATTTAAGGACGTGTATCAAACTGATCCAATTTAAGAAAGTTAAGGCGGCACGATTGATTAGCCCGGTAGATCTTTCCTTTTTTTTTTTTTTTTTTCTTTTGGCAACAGATAATTTTTTTTTTCTTTTGGCCATAGATATTCCTTAATTCATATGACCCCCTTTTTTTTTATGAAAATTCTATGACTTTTTGTCAGAAACAAAATTAATTAATTTAAACCAGTTTAGCATGTTATCCATATTATTAGGAATATTTTTTTAGACATTATGATCACTGACACTTCAAAAAAATGGTTTATAACAGGCATATAATACTCTTTTGCTTTTCATTTCTTTAAATTTTTTTAAAGAAATTTATGAAGATAAAAAATTAATAAATTTTACAAATGTCAACAACCAAATTATGAATTTTTTAAAATTGAATGATTAAAATAAAAGCTTCTGAATACTTAATTGATCAAAAGTGTAATTTGCATTTTCCTTTTTTAAATCTTATTTTTTTCATATTTTATAATACCACTTCGATAATACAACATAGAGAATGCTAAATGAAGTGTAAATACCACGCCAGCCATTCATAATCTCTAATGGTTTACTGAACACAAAAAGTAAATTTTATAAACGTCTGTGATCAAACCGTAACTTTTTATTGCTGGATGATTAAAATAGAAAATTACAAAATTTTAGTGATTAAACATTCTAGTTACATTAATTATAAAATAAAATAAAATAACTATTTTTTTATTTTTTAATTCTATCAAGTAATGTATGAGAAATTTTATTATTTTTTTAATTTTCTTATCTTTTATACCAAACACGCCAATGAAAAAAAAAATGTTTTTATCTCTATACTTTTCTCCTTTAATGTAATCATTGAAACGGTGCGTGAGGACTGTAATCAAAATTATTGATGAATCTAATGAATTTTATTTCCTAAAAAAAGAATCAAATATGGGCATATAAATGAGACAGAAATATATAGCCGACACAAAAAAATGTGAAACGAAATGAAAACATGGAAGTTACATTTCATAGTGGGGAATGGTCAAAGAGGTAATTTGACACGCAAGGATAGGTAGCACAAATATTCACCTTCACCTCCGTGCTATAAAAAGCGAGGGCGGGTCTGCCAATTCTCTCAAGCACAAAGTCCTGTAACTCAAATGAAGTCACCTACCGCTAATCTCGCGATACCTCTTCTCTTCTTTTCTCTTCTCTTCTCATTTTCATGGCTAACTTTGGCTGAAACACACCATTACGACAACTTCCTCCAATGCCTTACCCTACATTCTGGCAATGCCTCTTCCTTCTCCAAACTCATTTATGCTCAAAACAATTCTTCATATTCATCTGTCTTGGATTTTTCTATTCGGAATGCTAGGTTTTCTACACCAACTACCCCCGAACCTTTAGTCATAGTTACGCCCACCCACGTCTCCCATATCCAAACAACCATTAAATGCTCAAGAATTCATGACATGCAGATTAGAATACGGAGCGGTGGTCATGACTACGAGGGTCTTTCCTACGTATCTCAAGTTCCATTTGTAATCATTGATTTGATTAATTTACGATCAATCGATGTTGATGCAGAAAATAAAACCGCATGGATTCAAGCCGGTGCCACTATAGGTGAATTATATTACAGAATTGCAGAGAAAAGCTCAACTCTTGCCTTCCCAGCTGGTGTTTGCCCCACTGTGGGTGTTGGCGGTCACTTTGGCGGGGGAGGTTATGGCATGATGATGCGCAAGTTTGGCCTTGCAGCTGATCAAATAATTGATGCACACTTGGTTGATGTTGATGGCAGACTTCTTGATAGAAACTCTATGGGGGCAGATCTGTTTTGGGCCATTCGAGGAGGTGGGGCAGCCAGTTTCGGGGTCATTGTGTCGTGGAAAGTAAAGTTAGTTTCTGTTCCATCAACTGTGACTGTATTTACAGTGAACAGAACATTGGAAGAGAATGGAACAATGCTTGTTCACAAGTGGCAATCAGTAGCACCAAAGATTCACGAAGATTTGTACCTCAGACTCTTTTTAAAAGCTGTGAATTCAAGCCAACAAGAAGGAAAAAGAACAACACAAGCTTCTTTCACTAGCTTGTTTCTTGGTAGAATTGATCAACTACTTGTATTGATGCAAGAAAGCTTTCCAGAGCTTGGAATAGTCAAAGAAGACTGTACTGAAATGAGCTGGATCCAAAGTATCCTCTACTTTGCAGATATCCCACAAAGTGAATCGTTAGATATTTTGCTTAACAGGACAGGTACAGCGGTGTTCTTCAAAGGGAAATCGGACTATGTTAAGGAATCTATTCCTGAAACTGCATTAGAAGGTCTGTGGCAAAGGTTTTACGAGGAGGAACCTGAGGCGGTGCAGCTTATCTTTAGTCCTTACGGAGGCATAATGGATGAGATTCCGGAGTCTGAGACTCCTTACCCTCATAGGGCAGGGAATTTGTTCAACATCCATTATGTAGTGGTATGGGAAGAAGAAGATGCTTCTGCATCTCAGAAGCATATAAGTTATATGAGAAGGCTTTACAGGTACATGGAACCCTACGTTTCAAAATCTCCCAGATCAGCTTACATGAACTACAGGGATCTTGACCTCGGAAGCAATAACAAAGGCAGATACACGAGCTATAGACAAGCAAGCAAATGGGGTCTTAAATATTTCAACAACAACTTCAACCGATTGATTCATGTGAAGAGAATGGTTGATCCGCAAAATTTCTTTAGACATGAACAGAGTATCCCTTCTCTTTTACTGGGCTGAGGAAGGAGAGATGATGATTTATTCTCAATAATTAAATAGGATTTTATAGACTAGCTAAGCAAAAATAAAAGGCATGTTGAAGATCAAGGATATTGACCATGTGCAATCTCCTAAATAATTATATATATCCATTTTACAACAAAGAAAATATCCTGTGTCTTGCGGACTTGGCCTGCATATACAAAATACACAAGAAAGTAGCTGCTGCTCTTCCACCCCTAATCTCCATCTTTTCTTCTCAATATTTGAATCTGCTACTTTCATGATCAAATTTCTAAGTTCTATTCATTGGAGTGTCCGTTTGGGAACATCCATTATATGTATTTTTAATAAAAATTTGTTGTATATCTTTTTTTTTTGTGTTATTTAAATAATTTGTTGTATAGTTTTTGGCTTTCTCAAATAAATTACATTGACTATTTTTTGTGCGTGGAATATGACTCGAGATCAACGACAGACACCGGCTCGAGCATACAAGTTGTAATATATCCCAGCCCATCTTTATTTTTTTTGGACCATACATTGTTTTAGGCCGAAGTTTTAGCTGGCCCAAATAATAACATACAGGGGTTTTAGATTTTTGACTGGATGTTTGATTCGCCAATTATAATCTAATTTTTATTTTTCGTAATTTGATTTTATAATTAATTTGATAAATTCTTATTTCCATCACAAATAACAACATTGTCAATAAAAAGAAAATTAGAAAAAATCTAAATCCTCTTTCCTAAGAAATTTTATTAGATTTCGAGAGAAAAATAATTTTTTTTCCTATTTATCCTCTCATATTTCACTGTGCTAGAGAGACAAAATAACCACGAGAGGAGTGATAATTGCTGGAGCATTTGGACGTTGGGAATCATCTTCTCAAGTTGGTTTCCGTCGTAGAAAGGTAAGATTTCTTTTATGATTTTCATAGGTACACTTACGGTGCATCATTCGAAAGAGAAATTTGGCTGCCGATCACTAATTGATAAGTCTTCGACAACCAAAATGGCACCAAAACGTTCTCTAGTCACAAAGAGTTCATTGGCTTCCTCGACAAGATCAAGTTTATTTAGATGAGTGATAAAATTAATTTTGATGAAATTAAAAATAATAATAAAATTAATTATTGTAATGATAAGATTAAAATTAATAATTATATATGTATTTCAATCAAAAAATAATGGTGATGGTAGAATAAATTGTAATGAGAAAATAAAATGATCATTAATAGTATTTAGAATAAAAATTAATAAGTAATTTAAAATTAATAAAAAAATAAAATAAAATATATTTATTAATTTATTATATAATATTAAAATTTATTTATTTATTAATGTTATACAATAAAAAATAAAAATAGAAGTTATTTATTTATTATATAATAATAAATTTTATTTATTAATTTATTACCCAATACAAAAAATCAAAAGAAAAAAAGTTTAAGTGTTTAAAAGAATTCTTGTTCCAAAAAAATTCTCCCTCTTTATTTTTCTTCTTTTTCTTAAATATTTTTTGGTTTTTCTATTTTTTTTATTTTTGAAAAAATAACAAATAAGTAAATAAAAGCAAAATAGGTAAAATAAATACAAGAGGAAGAAAAAAATTAAGACAAAAAGCTAAAAAAATAACAGAAAATTGATCAAATTAATGTGCGAGATCAAATTTGAAAATATTTGAAAGCCCTTAGATAAAAAAAGTTCTATAATTTACATCTAAAAAAATTTAGATTTTTTATATTTTATATCAGCCACATTGTTTCATTTTATACCAAAAATTAAAATTTTTTATATAAAATTACTCATAAAGTGAAATTAATTAATTAGCCTATTAAATACTTTTGAGCCTTCAAACATACCATCTAATATTCACTTCTTTCAATCTTACTTCATAAACTCAACTTCATCTTCTTATTTATACAACTAACATCATATTTATAATTATCTAAATAGTATTTGGTATAGTGATTTAATCAAAAACTTATGATGATTTACCACATCATTTATTTTATAGGCATCAGATCAACATATTTGGTAACCATTTAATAATCCTACATAACAGTAATATTAAATCATCGATAGTAATTTGATCACTATCTTAGAAGGTAATTTAATTCCCATCTAAAGAGGTGAAAAACTTTTATCACCGAGATGAAGTAATATATAAAATTAATAAAAGTTAATATTACCCATTTAATATGTTAATTAAAATTTTTTTCTTATAATTAATTGTTATTAGTTTATATTATAATTGTTATATTTTCAAACTAATATTTATTGTAATAAGTTTTGTGCAAATTTTTTAATTTTTTTAAATTTATTTATAATATAATCTTTTGATTTTAATATATTAGTTTTATTTTTTTAATTCAAATATAATTTATACTATCAAAACTAGTTTATTGTCAATAAATCTATTTTTAATTTAATAATTTAATTATATTTATTATGAAATAAATAAAATATTATTAATATTTTATATACAAATTATTTTCTTTAAATAACATTAAAATCATAACTTATGTAATTATTATAATGTACGTTGTTATTTTAGTACTTTTAAACAAAATAATATTTGATTTTTAAAATCACCGAACATAAAGAACTTTAATTATTAAAAATTAATTATTCTTAATCAAATAAAATGATTCATTATTACGAATGATAAGATCATTTTAATAATAAAATCATCTTAATGATTAAAGTACTATAGTGATTTTAAAAATACTAGGATACCGAAAATGAAGGTGGAATGCGAAACCAAAGCATGTCGCGACAAAGACTATAAGGAAAATGATTAGAAAGCGTTCTGATTTGAGATTCAGAAAAACAACTTACACATAGCTAATATCTGACGGTGATTTCAGACAAAAGGAAAATGGGTGAGGTTGTGATTTTGGCTGTTAATGGTTTGAATGTAAATGCACTTGTGATTCAATTGGTTGTGGTGAAAAAGTTTTCCTAAAGAGGGTTTGAAATATGGATGTATTTAACATGTGGTTATAAAGAGAAAAAATGGCTGCATATAAAATTCCCTTTGTTTATAGTTTGGTCGATGCAGTGTTACTAGTTGTTGAACGGGGTAACATTCTATAGTGGAATTAAAGTAACTTTTATTGGTAAACTAAATCGTATAATCATATATATATATATATATATATTACAATATATAAGATTACATGATAAAAATTATTTATGTAGATATTTAGGTGAATAATCTCTTTTGATGACACATAAGATAATATTTATATTATTTTATTTGTCAAATAAATTTCTTTAGTAAGTTATTCAAATTTAATATTTTGGATAATTATTTAAATTTAAATCAAAATCTAAGACTGAAAATTTTATATAAATTTTGAATTCAAATATATTAAATTATAATTTATCTTTTATGTTTAAATTTAATCACAATTCCAAATATATATACTTAATAAAATTTTATTTTCTACCAAATAATTCTATTTAACAAATTATTTATATCTAATATTTTGTATAATTATTTAAATTTAAATCAAAATCTATCAAAAAATAAAAAATTTAGCATACATTTTAAATTCAAATTTATCAAATGTTAATTTATCATGTTTTCAATTTAATTATGATTCTATATATATATACATGCATACATATATATGTATATGTTTAAGTGCGTGTTTAATAAACTATTATATACTGAAATTAGAATTTAAGAACGAAAATAAAGAGCATAAGAGAGGCCATCCCATTCAAACCAAGATTATTTTATTTATTATTATTAGAATTAGAAATTGAAGAAGATAAATTTTTTTATCTGATGATTATGATTTATTGGTTTTGACAGAAATCGACAAAAGCTAAAAATAAATGAAAGCCATGTTATACTCATGAACAAGTAAGTCCAATTTCTACCTTTAGTGCTCCTTAAAATATGGTTTATATTAAAATTAATAATTAAGCAAAAGAAAATAAATTTAAATTTGAATTAACTGGGTATTAGGATTTATTTAGAACTTATATGATGGTTCATTCTAAGTTAATGAATTATGTACTAGGAAGCATGGATGAATTGAGAGTTTGCATTTTTATATAAAAGATAAGATATTTAAATATTGTTAAAAAAGTTAGATAAAAGTATGTTTTTATTTTTGAGAACAAATATAATGTTTTATTTATGTTCTAATTCAAATATTTTTATATTAAATATTTAATTAATTTATTTGTTTCTCTTTAGTCTTTTTTTTAAATTTTGTTTAGATTGATTATAATTAACTTTTCATTTTTTTTGTTTTATTAATTTATTTAATGTTTCTTTTCTCTATTAATTCGTTAGATATTTTGCTTAACAGGACAGGTACAGCAGTGTTCTTCAAAGGGAAATCGGACTATGTTAAGGAACCTATTCCTGAAACTTCATTAGAAGGTCTGTGGCAAAGGTTTTACGAGGAGGAACCTGGGCGGTGGAGCTTATCTTTAGTCCTTACGAAGGCATAATGGATGAGATTCCGGAGTCTGAGACTCCTTACCCTCATAGGGCAGGGAATTTGTTCAACATCCATTATATAGTGATATGGGAAGAAGAAGATGCTTCTGCATCTCAGAAGCATATAAGTTATATGAGAAGGCTTTACAGGTACATGGAACCCTACGTTTCAAAATCTCCCAGATCAGCTTACATGAACTACAGGGATCTTGACCTTGGAAGCAATAACAAAGGCAGATACACGAGCTATAGACAAGCAAGCAAATGGGGTCTTAAATATTTCAACAACAACTTCAACCGATTGATTCATGTGAAGAGAATGGTTGATCCGCAAAATTTCTTTAGACATGAACAGAGTATCCCTTCTCTTTTACTAGGCTGAGGAAGAAGAGGTGATGATTTATTCTCAATAATTAAATAGGATTTTATAGACTAGCTAAGCATAAATAAAAGGCATGTTGAAGATCAAGGATATTGACCATGTGCAATCTCCTAAATAATTATATATATCTATTTTACAACAAAGAAAATATCCTGTGTCTTGCGGACTTGGCCTGCATATTCAAAAAACACAAGTAGCTACTACTCTTCCACCCCTAATCTCCATTTTTTCTTCTCAATATTTGAATCTGCTACTTCCATTATCAAATTTCTAAGTTCTATTCATTGGAGCGTCCGTTTGGGAACATCCATTATATGTATCTTTAATAAAAATTTGTTGTATACCTTTTTTTTTTGTGTTATTTAAATAATTTGTGGTATAGTTTTTGGCTTTCTCAAATAAATTACATGACTATTTTTTGTGCGTGGAATATGACTCGAGATCAACGACATATACCGGCTCGAACATACAAGTTGAAATATATCCCAGCCCATCTTTATTATTTTTGGACCATAACATTGTAATAGGCCTAAGTTTAGCTGGCCCAAATAAACATATAGCGGTTTTAGATTTAACTTGACTGGATGTTTGATTTGCCAATTATGATCTAATTTTTATTTTTTGT